AGAGTTCATTCAGATTTCCCTGTAAAATAAGGCAGTGCACTTCACTGTACAAATAACAATGCAGCTCAAGTGACATCTGGAGTTGTGATTAATTCATCAGATGATAGGCAAGCCTGTCACCAATCAGAGGGGGGGCACAGTGTGTTGTCATGTTAGATAATCCCTGCCACCAGACCACACTGACTGCACAGAGGAGCACCAGAACAGCTATGCACACTGAGCCCCAAAGGCGTGCGTGTGTGTGTGTGTGTGTGTGTGTGTTTGTAAGTCTGTGTGGTAAGAAGACAGCAGCAGTCACCTCCTTGTAACCCCAGGGTATGACATTGAACATTAAGGGAAGAGCATTTAGGCCATAATTAGAGTCCTGTTTATACTGAAGTTCCGTTTGCAGAGATAATTAGGTCTGTCTTCATTACAGCAATTGCAGATAGCACGACGACTGGAAACCAGTAGAAGGCCCAACTATTTATACCATCATGCAATCCTCTTGTAGCTCAGCTTTTTTAACTTTTAAAAGCCCCAGGTTCCAGAAATGATCAAATGTGGCATGTGGGTGGCGCACATGTGCTGCTCAGCAACAAGCTTTTCAAGAACTGAAATAAGTTAACAGAGACTAATATCATTTATAATTTTAGACTCATTAAGCCACATGTGGAGGAAATTAAGGATTGAGTGGAACTGTGGTTTTACTTGTATGTGTGCTCATTTATTGAACATCTGATGAACAATGATATGTGTAGGTGGAATGTGGGCATTGATAACGTACAGGAAGAGGTTCCTCTCTGTATTTATTATTAACCACGCTAGCATCACGACTCAATGGAAGGCAGAGTCTCTAAAATAGTACTCACAATCCCTTCAGCTCCAACTATACTTTGTGATTAGTGCTAGTTAGCAAATGTTAGCATGCAGACACACTAAACTAAGATGGTGGACATGGTAAACATTACACCTGCTAAACACTGACATGTTATTGCAGTTAGCAGGTGAATGGAAGCCTTGTTACTAACTTACCTTTATTACAGCCACCACATTGCCCAAATAATATCAAGCTGATCCATCCTTCCATCCATTATCTATTCCATTTGTCCTGCAGAGGGTCACAGGGGTGCTGGAGCCAATCCCAGCTAACACTGGGTGAGAGGTGGGGTCCACACCGGGCAGGTCGCCAATATATCACAGGGCTGACATATAGACAAACAACCACATGCACTCACACTCACTCCTACGGGCAATTTAGAGTCTCCAGTCAACCTAAACCGCATGTCTTTGGACCGTGGGAGGAAGCTGTGCCACCATGCAGCCCTATCAAGCTGATGTAATAAAATGAACTTTTTAATGAGTTATGTTTTATTTTTAGGTGAGACTCTATAATATCTGTCCAGGGACTAAAGATGAAAAATAGCCTTTTGGCAGATTCTGGTGCATTTACAGTAATGTTTATTAATGTACACTGTCCCTGTTAAATAAACAGTTAAAGCAGTTTTTCATTAAACACAAACACTGACTGACTCCTAATCTGATTGCATAACCAACCATATCAGATTCATGTAAATGATTGAGGACAATACAGAGGACCTTAACAACTTTGATTGAACCACATTATATTTTTTCATCACTGAAGACTAGATGTACTTTTCATGCCAAACATAATGATGATGCGATGTATAATACTTTGCTCAGACCATTGCAGGTACTGCATATCAAGACAGTTACAGCAAGTTACAAAAATAAGTCTTCTAATTCTGTCCCTTGCTACGTGAATCAGGTGGGTTTTCTTCTTCTTCTTCTTCTTCTTCTTCTTCTTCTTCTTCTTCTTTAATCTTTCAGCATTTCAGGTGTTAGGCTCAGGTTGGCTGCAACAGTGTGTGGGTGGACAGCTAACTGCTGCAGGGCACTCCACATGAAGAGCTTCATCAACATGATGACCAAGTCTATTGCCTTTATTTCATGATGTCAAAATAGTTTCGCCCTTCAGCTTATAAAAAAACCCAGAGCGGCTCAGTGGCTTGGAGAAAATGATTACGATATGACAGATAAAGTAGCTGTTTCCATTTTGGTTATGCGTGCAAAATGCTAAGCATTTTCTGTTTTGTTTGAAAGCTGTGTAGGCTACAGTACCATTTCACGGTTGCACGAACAAATCCGCGCCCTGCAGCACAGTGTTCGCTGTTTGCATTTACCTGCTTTATTTGGGGAGGGGGTCTTGCAATTAAGACGAATGTCACTGTAAATGCCAACATTAGTGTGAATAGTTGGCTCAGGTTTGTTGTCTCACTGATGGGAAATGTTTCTTCCAGTGCAGATATTGATTTCAGTATCTTTTGAACTCAGCAGCCCGCCTCACTGCATGGGTGGCTCAGACACGAAATTGCTTTTCCAACTGGTCTTAGACTTGGATCGAGTGATAGACCTTAAACAAATGCAAATGCAGAGAAATCAGCAAGCACGGGAGAAACACATAGGTGTCATTTCACTGCCTAATTGTTTTATAACAGTTTTTAAAGCTTAGGATTAGGTCATTGACTTGTTTTAATGCTTTTATAATTACCCCAAAATTGATCTGTTGTTGCAGTAAATATTTTAAAAGTGTCACTGTCTGTGTCAGTGTGAGGCAATCATGCGTGCATGCAATAATGAACCATAATCCCTCTAAATGTTAGGATAATTGTCATCTAAATTGCTGTGGAAATCATTTTAAAAGACACTCCATTTGTGACATTTCCTTTTATTTAAAAAAATATCTATTTATTGTGCACACAAAATATTTATGTGACTCAGTGCCTTTTGATGATGTGAATTTAACTGATTTTTAAAGAATTTTGCGTAAACATGACAACTTAGCTTTGTCCCCAAGATATAACAGCAGGTGAAATAACACAGAGATGAAAGTCTCACCAATGAGAATCTGTACACAGATGGGTTTAACATCACTGGGAGCCAGCATCTGCCCAGGTTAAAGCCTTTGTACATCCAACTGGAAAAACAACGAATACACCAACTGGCTGAAGCAAGGATTTGCTTGTAGTGCGAAGACAAAAAAATAAAAAAAATCTATGTGCTGCAAGCTGCAATGTACTATGCTTATTCATGTGTGCTTGTGGGTGTGTTAGTGCGATTGTTTCTGTTTCATTGCTTAATCATAGCTTAGATTTTTTACAAGCACTGGCACAGAATAATAATGTTCCTAGTGAAACTGCAGTGCCAGATAAATTGCATCTGACTGTTACACCTTTGTCATCTTTGTCATTAACGTGCACTGACTAAGTTACACAACAGATAGACCAGCGAGTCTTATAGACAATAGCCTGCAGGATATGTTACGCTCATACTGTACATTAGTAGTTAATTCTGTTCAGAAGACAAAGATCTTTAAGACAAGACGTCACTGACTGACATAATAAAACTGTAAAAGAACTACAGTGTAAAACCCTGTAGTAATAAAAGATCATCTGTAGCACTTATATCAAAGCACTTATACTTGAAATAGCCTATATGTGATATTTTAATGTGCATTCGTTTATAGTTCTGCCGATAAGATTAAAAAAAGAAAATGAGTTAGCCCACAATAATTACAGTGCAATATATCATTAGTACTAGAACAAACAAGTAGGTATCAGAAAGGGGGACAATACGTCAGGGAATGGGAGGGTCAAGCCTTATCATAGAAAGAAATCTTACTGTTAGTAAATAATTACTGACAAAAGATACTTTTGAAAGTTATATAGTTATAAAGGGTTTTAAATATGGTGAGTTTTTATTGTCACTGTAGTATGAATGGTTGTCATTGCTGAGGAGCAACACATTAGTCAAAGTATGGGAATGAGGGTATGCCTTCCGAACTAGTTTAAGCTACAGTATGTAACTTAACATAGTGCAGCATGAAACTGCAAATCAGCCCACTCTGCTCAACCCATCACTCCCTCTCCCGGCTCCACTATGCTCTAGTATGCTCTGCTCAACCCATCACTCCCTCTCCCAGCTCCACTATGCTCTAGCACAATCTATGCTATCTATAGCCACGCTATGCCCAGCTCATCAGATATTTGTTGCTATGAAAATACAAGAAATGAGAATATAATAAAACTTATTGATCAAGCAGGAATAGTTGAAAATCTCTGATTGGTTACAGAAGTCCTGCCCAAAACCTTTAAGAAGCTAATATCTCTGCACTGCTGCCAGTGCTGTTCAATGAGTCTGTGTCGCAGGGGGCTTTGACAGCACCTCTCCACATTGAGACAAGTTTTGGAGCCAATTTCTACAACAAATATACCTATGTTTTTGTTGTTTTTTTTAAAGTTACATACTGTAGCTTTAAGTGTATGCTTTACAACTAGATGAGAGGAACAGTAAGTCCTAGGATGAAATCAAGGCAAAGCACTGAAAATATGGGAGAATGCTCCTTTGTTACCTTGTACTGTATGCAAGATGTAAACCAAAGCAGACCAGTGTGGTTTTAGCATTTTACTGGTAACCTTTATTATAAAATTTCCACAAAATCTAATTGCTCAGCAAGTATTTGATTACAAACACTTTAGACATAATTAGTCATTAAATCCAAACTAATTAAAAGTAACTAACCAAACCAAAATTTCAACGCAATGAGTTCTGAGAAGCTTTCAAACTAAGGTTCCGCAAGTCGTTCAGGTCTGGATAGACTGCTGTACCCTGCAGTTTGAAAACATCATCCGGATGTTTTAAAACTAAAACAATTAGACCCTGTGCTGCATTATCGTACAATCACTGCATTCTGTCGCAGTGACAGATGGCAAGGTGAGTGACGCTCGTTAATGAAACATTTCTGAATGAAAAGTAATTTTGGGTGGACAGTCACTGGTTGTGATGACGCACGGGGAGTGATGCTGAAGCTCGGTGAGGTGATGGGAGGATGAGGATGGCTGGTTGGTGGGCGGGAGGGGGGGGTTACACGCCGGGCTGGGGGGTGTTGAGTGGTTCGAAGAGAAAGCACTGAGTCATTTGGTGCTCATCATTATCTGAAGAGGCTTGGAGCACCTGAAGGACTCGCGATTATACCGGCAGATGTGAAGGCTCTCCATGATGAGCGCTCCACCGCCTCCCGGTGCGAGTCAGCTGCCACAACCGCCGTCCAAGCGCGGATCGGGCACGCCGTCTGGATGTGAAAATCAAAGTTAGGTGAGTCCCAGAAATTGGGCTTTTAACCGTTTAATTGAAGCATTTGAGTTGCTGTTTCTTATTTAATTGATGCGCTTCTTCATTTTCTGTCCGTGTGGTAAAGCAGACGTTGAATAAATCTCATTATTTCAGACCAAATGGGCCAGACTTTGGATAAGGACAAAAAAAACATAAATTAAAAAGAACAAGAATCATAAGAACCATACAAATTTAGTCTAATCTAGCGATAAATTTAGATGATGTAGCCGAAAATAGTGTATATTTAATTACATTTTAGTTTACGTAGTTAAATATAGGTGTAATTTATCCAGGTAATATGACTTTGTTTTTTTATAGCTAATTGTCTTTCCAGTCTACGGGAGTTGCCTTGTCTAATATAATGACACCGGGTTGCACTGATCTATAAATAGCTGATTTATATGATGCTGTTTCTGTCGCGATTGAATTTCTCTTCAGTTTCTTAATATTACCTTAAATAAAATGACAAATCATCTATTGATATGGAGAGAGATGCACTTTCAGGTCTCTAATGACCATTGACCATGACAAGTGCCCACAAGTCTCAGCCTCTGTCGTTTTATTAAGGTTGATGCCACTTTCCGTCAGGTGTCACCTATAATTCCTGCACAATGGACTAGAGTTATAGAGCTGGGATTTACCCCAGCGCACCAGTGAAGAGGTTGAGATTACATCTGAGCCAGAATGGATGTTTACTCCCGGCCAATTAAAATAACTGTAGAGGGAGGCTGCTTGTCCCCACCTGTCCTCATCATTACTGTGGATTCCTGTCCAACCCTGACCAGCTGCTACTTATCAAGCACATCGACATATTGTTGTGCCTGCCTTGCAAACAGCCATGAACACAACGCCTATATTTCTAGACTATTGTGTGGTGAAGCGATGTGCATGTAACAAGAAGAACGGCAATACGTTTAACAACAAAGTGAAGGTGAATAACTCAATGCCCCGAAGCAAGGCATGTAACCTGCAGCTCACTGCCACTGCTTGGTTTCGCCAGACAGCCCTCCTGATGCATGTTACTCTGAATAATTTTTGCTGGAACCAGTGTGCATTACTTAAGTGGACCGTCAGTATATCCATCCCAATCCTTACACTTCTACAGCTTAGTGAAATCAACAGGTCTTTTATAAGCTTGTCAGTTTTAATTACTCTCAAAACAAGTCGTTTTAATCAGGAGTTTCAGATTTATGATTATGATTAGGGTATGTGCTGAATGCATTAATACAATTTCCCCAACATGTAATTGGGTCAGCTGTGAGCACATACAAATTTCTTCTAGTTTGAACAATTTTTCTCTTATAAAAATCACAAACAGTAAACAAGATTACTAACCAATCCAGTCCTTTTCATCTCTTTATTGTTGAAATACGGTCATTGACCAGACTGTCATATACATTATAATGCTTTAACTGATAGGAGCATCTGCCAACTATAGTGTAATATAAAACTGACCCGAAACCTTTTCACATGATTGCATTAACAAGAAATTGTGTTGTGTCATTGCAACAATTTAAACAGTACAGCAAACAATTTGAATGCAGCATACACTTAATATTTTAGGCTGAGGTAACTTAATCTTTTTTACAGTGCAAAATGATGATGATGATGATGTAATGAATTCCTGCAATGCTCCTGTGGCTAAACATGTGACTTTTACTTTCATAATTACCTTTGAGGCACAATGCCAGCACAGGAGCGAACCTGAGACATAAAACTCCAACAACCGTGTTAAACAGCTGGACCTCCGGTGTAGAGCAGAGGTTTGTGGGGCGCAGAGAAAAAGGTCATCCAGTGGTTAATAGTGTGACGGGGAGAAATGGAGGAAAGGAGGGGGCTTAAGACTTGAGCAGACTGCATAATGCCTTTGTCCTCACCACTGTCGCGTGTTAAGCATGTTTGGCATGTTTGATGGTGTGAAAGGTGACTGGCTGCTGAACAAGAACAAGAATAGATAGATAGATAGATAGATGGATGATGGATAGATGGATAGATAGATAGATAGATGGATAGATAGATAGATAGATAGATAGATAGATAAAACACTTTTAAAGAGGGCAACTCAGATGAACTTTTAATTCAGTTTATAAATAAAACAGCTTAACAACATCCTAAAATCATCAGGATCATCTTAGGCTATCAATGTTTAGTTAAGGAGCATTCACATTATAAATGCCAGGGACATTGTATTCATGTCAAAGGACAGAGCCTTCAAAAAATACAATGAATTTGATGCATCAAGAGGGAACAATTCAGGTCCAAATGTGGGGCAGGTTTAGTAGGTGCTTATTATGCCAGAGACCTTTATTGCCACAGATACAATAATAAACACGGAGCATATCTGTTTTACATACTAAAAAGACGTGGTTAAATTTTGGCACGAAACTACTTGGTTAGGATAAAAACACACACCTCTTTTCTGTTGGAATGTTTCACGACCCATCCAGCACAGCCTCACCCTGACACTGACTTTTTCACTATATATCATGGATGTATTATGAGAGCTAGATAAGGTGCGGTCACTCAGCCATTATGCTAATTTTTCCCAGTGGCCACTAAACAGTACTGCAACAAAAATCCCCTTTCTGCCAAAAAAAAAAGCATTTTCTCCATAGATAAAAGAGACATCTGTAAAAACCACCGACAAGACACATTCAACAGCAAACAAGGCCGGATTTTAGTTTTTGTATCATGGAGGTTTAATCCATGGAGGTTTTATATTTGTAAAGCCTTTCAATTGCCTAAAGGAGTGGATTTTATTTTTGTGGCATCATGCCATTGTAAAGTTTATAGTCCGAGTGGGAAAACACTAATGAGCATGTGCACTGAGCTGGAGATGCAAATGTGAACCTGGCTGCTATGTATTTTTCAGTATTTGTTATTAAAAATAAAAAAAAACTTTTTGGCTGAGGTGCCAGCTGAGCCATTTCCATTCAAGTCACTGGGCTCCTGCTGGCTCTAGCTTCATATTTAGCATAAATTTATGAGTGCAACATCAGTATTCTCATGTAATGCTCCAAAGTGTCAAACTACTGAACTCCTTCAAACAATTCTGGAGCAAAAGCTCAATAAAACTACGCCTGAATACACACAGATCAATTAATGTCAAACCAACTGTATTGTTTGGACCTTTCACACTGTGATATTGATCTGTTTAGGGGAGGGGTTAAGCACAAGTTGAAGATCTCAGTTGAAATGGCAATAAAATAGCCAACTGAGGCTAATATATTGCTAAGTCTCCAGCTATTTTAGTTTGGCTCAATGTACGTCAATAGCATTTTAATTGTGTGATGTTTCCCAGACAATTCAGTCAAACAGGCAACTGGTCAGTCCTGATACTGGTTTCTTTATTCCTCAATCTCGCATTCTGTTTAGTCGATAAGCACAACACGAGGCTGTGGTCACATTGATCTGGCAGCAACTGTGCTTCAGACATTGTCTCTCACCCACAGACTTGACAGATGTGAGCTGAAGTAACATTGAAAAAACACCTGCAAAAGTGATACAATCGACAAAACAAGGATGAATGGTTTACTGTGTGATTAATGGGTCAGTTTTCTCAAAGCAGATTCTTCTGTCTGTCTTTTCACAGGCTCTAGATGCTGATGTGTAGACCTACTCCTTTCTATGCTCAAGATGAAACTGCTGCGCGTACTAGACAGGAGGAACATGGATGCTGTGTGCTGTTCACCTCTCATCCTGCCCACGAAAGTTGTGTCTCACTCCACGGTTTAAGACAGCAAACCTGAACCTTTTGAGTCCAAAGTCCTGTTTTTGGTTCAGAGAATATGCAACGATTTTTCTTGTCTATCCTGTCTTGAATGTTTCTAACAGTGTTTTTGTGCCAGCTGCATAATAACACTCAGTTTTAACATCAATAACATTTTCAAGATGGATGACCTGATTTCAGTGCAGTAGGTTTTGCTGGCATATATTATACTTGTCTCTCAGTGGTTCTGCATGCATCCTGTAGTTTAGTTGATGCATTGCCAACATAATGGCTCATTTGCCATATGCATCAACATTCAAACTGTGTTTTGACAAGACACAGTTAATGTGATTATTAGTAAAATGGCATTATGAGAATGCCCTGATGTGCCCTGTCTCCTGTGTTACAGTCTACTTTTGCTGCACAGGACAGTGTCAAGCATCAGTGTAGTATTGGAACAGATGATTCCTGTGCTGGACAATATGACCCCAGCACCTCTGATACAGAACTGCTCCAACTGCAGCCAGGTTTTTGTCCCAGAGCTCGATGTGGTCAAGGCTGTGGTTTTGGGCTTGGTGCTTGGTGTCTTCATTGTGTTTGGAGTTGTGGGAAACATCCTGGTAATCCTCTCAGTAGTGTGCCATCGGCACCTGCGGACAGTCACACATTATTTTATTGTTAATCTGGCAGTGGCAGACTTGCTGCTGAGCTCCACCGTACTACCCTTCTCTGCCATTTTTGAGATCCTGGATCGCTGGGTGTTTGGACGGGCCTTTTGTAATGTTTGGGCAGCTGTGGACGTGCTCTGCTGCACTGCCTCCATCATGAGCCTGTGTGTGATCTCTGTTGACCGCTACATTGGAGTCAGTTATCCTCTGCGTTACCCAGCTATAATGACAAAACGCAGGGCTCTGCTGGCAGTGATGGTGCTGTGGGTGCTCTCTATCATCATATCTATTGGACCTTTGTTTGGCTGGAAAGAGCCAGCACCAGAGGACGAGTCCATCTGCAAGATCACAGAGGAGCCGGGCTACGCTGTCTTCTCTGCTGTGGGCTCTTTCTACCTCCCTCTGGCCATCATACTGGCCATGTACTGTCGGGTTTATGTGGTAGCTCGCAGAGAAAGCCAGGGCCTGAAGGAGGGCCACAAGACCGAGAAGTCAGACTCAGAGCGAGTGATACTGAGGATACACAGAGGCAACACAACTGCATCAGAGGACGAGGCCCTTCGTAACCGCACACATTTTGCACTACGGCTGCTCAAGTTCTCACGTGAGAAAAAGGCAGCGAAGACCTTGGGCATTGTGGTTGGCTGCTTTGTGTTGTGCTGGCTGCCCTTTTTCCTGGTGCTACCCATCGGTGAGTATCATCATGTTGACCCCTTTAAGTGATTCCTAACTCTGCAAACCAGATGATGTCCAATTATTCAGTCTTTACTGTGTCTGTTTAAATGATGATGACTGTTCTAAAGGGATCCTCTGGCATGCCGAGTAGCACACTGGTTCACTTTGAGAGTTAGATGAGAAGACTGATATCAGTCATACCCAGAGGTGGAAAATAACTAAGTATATTCACTCAATTACTGTACGTAAGTACAGTTTTAAGGTATCTGTACTTTACTCGAGTGTTTTCATTTTTTGCTATTTCATACTACGACTTCAGTACATTCCAGTGAAAGGTGTTGCACTTTGTACCCACTACATTTGTGTGATCATTTTAATTACTTGTCAGGATAAAATTAATAAAACAAAATACAGTATAATCATAAGAATTTATTGATCCCCCATGTAAAATTCACAAGCTACCCAGTAGTATGCAAAGTACTTCAGTTAGTTAGCATTAGCTCCATCTTTGCCAGCTGCAACATTAAATGTAATGCACACAATAATGCTTTAATAATTACCATCCAATAATATAATATATATTAATGTAAAATGTGGCATTCTGCATAATTACTACTTTTACTTTTGGTACTTTAAGTATATTTTGATGCTGACACTTTTGTACTTAGGTAATATTTATTGATGCAGGACCTTTACTTGTAACAGAGTATTTTTATACTGTGGTATTGTTACTTTTATTTAAGTAAACAGTCTGAGTACTTCTTCCACTACTGCTCATATGTGCATGGTAAATATAGAGCTACAGCCAGCAGCCAGTTATCTTTGTTGGCAATCGGCACATATGGTTACCAGAGCCAGGCTAGTTGTTTCCTCCTGTTTCTGGTCTTTATGCTAAGCTAAGTTAAACTAACTGTCTCCTGTCTTCAGCTTCATATTGAATGGACAGATATGACAGTGGTATTCTAGTCTAACAAATAAAACAAGTTCATGTCACTATTCCATTAATGATGTACAGGATGGTGGTTGACCTGCTTTTAAACTTTTTCATGAATAATATCTAACTAATTTAAACCTGGTTCATATATTCAATCCCCTGCACTCACACACGAGTCAGATCACTTTTAGAAGGCTAGATTTAACTTCTGCATTAATCCATTTTACAGGTCCATTCAACAATTTATGCCATCATGTGGTTTTTAAGTGCTGTAATAGTTTGATGCTGTTAATTGAATTGCTTCTCTGTGGTGAGGACAGTGAATTTATTGTGACTCAGACTAGCCTTCTGGCCTGTTGAACACCATAGTAAATGCTCAGACTCCGCCAGGTGGACACTCTATAAATAGACTCAATATTCTTTCAGGTCTCTGGCGGCCTGCAGCGGCTCTCCTGTCTGTAAACAAAGACTCAGAATTATATATTTGAAACACTGACCCCTGAATGACGTGTCAAGCCATTTCTCTGCTCCTTGCTCT